CCAAGAAGATGAAATACTTGGGAATAAATCTAACCAGAGATGAAAAAGAGTTGTACAATGAAAACTACAAGACACTACTGCAAGAAACCAAGAGAGACCTGCATAAGTGGAAAAACATACCTTGCTCATGGATGGGTAGGCTCAACATTGTGAAAATGTCAGTTCTGCCCAAAGCGATCTACAGATACAGTGCAGTCTTGATCCAAATGGCATTTTTTAATGAGATGGAGAAACAAATCACCAAGTTCATATGGAAAGGGAAGAGGCCCTGAATAAGTAAAGCATTACTCAAGAAGAACAAAGTGGGAGACCTCACACTACCTGATTTTTGAACCTATTATACCGCCATGGTAGGCAAAACAGCCTGGTACTGGTAACAACAACAGATACATAGACCAATGGAACAGAATGGAGAATCCAGACATAAATTCATCCACCTATGAGCAGCTGATATTTGACAAAGGCCCAAAGTCTATTAATTGGGGGAAAAGACAGTCTTTAACAAATGGTGCTGGCATAACTGGATATCCATCTGCAAAAAACTGAAACAAGACGCATACCTCACACCATGCACAAAAACTAACTCAAAATGGATCGAAGACTTAAATATAAAATCAAAAATGATAAAGATCATGGAAGAAAAAAATAGGGACAACGCTAGGAGCCGTAACACTTGGCGTAAACACAATACGAACCATGAGTAACAGTGCACAAGCACCAGAAAAGAGGCTAGACAAATGGGAGCTCCTAAAAATCAAACACTTAACACTAATCAAAAGACTTCACCAAAAGAGTAAAAAGACAACCTACAGACTGGGAAAAAATTTTTGACCTCGATAAATCCAGTCAGTGTCTAATCTCTAAAATCTACAAGATACTGCAAAGCCTCAACAACAAAAAGACAAATAACCCAATTAAAAAATGGGTAAAGGATATGAACAGGCACTTTGCCAAAGAAGATACTCAGGCGGCTAACAGACGCATGAAGAAATGCTCACGATCATTAGCCATTAGAGAAATGCAGATCAAAACTACGAGATATCATCTCACCCCAACAAGGCTAGCTAGCATTAATCCAAAAACATAAAATAATAAATGCTGGAGAGGTGGTGGAGAAGACTGGAACACTTATACACTGTTGATGGGAATGTAAAATAGTACAAACACTTTGGAAATCAATTTGGCACTTCCTTTAAAAGCTAGAAATAGAAGTCCATACGATCCAGCTATCCTGCTCCTTGGAATATATCCTAGAG